TCATAATGGTATCATATAGAATAGTTTTACTGCCCTAAAAATCCTCTGTTATCCACCTATTCATCCCTCTCTCCACTTTAACACCTGGCAAACACTAATATTTTTATTGTGTCTATAGTTCTGCCTTTTCCAGAATGTCATATAGTTGAAGCCATACAGTCCTTTCAGACCAGCTTCTTTCACTTAGTAATATGCAGTTAAGGTTCCTCTGTGTCTTTTCATGGCTTGGCAGCTCATTCTTTTTAGCTCTGAACAATATTCTATTGTCTGATGTACCACAGTTTATTTATCCATTCATCAGCTGAAGGCCTTAGACTTTTCATTTATGTGTCAAGTACCAGACTCTATGTGTCAAATTCCAGGGACACATACCAAACTTTCTGATTGGCTCCATGAAGGCCACCCAAACTTAATACGGTGATGAAGTGTGGTAGGCAGAACAATGGTTGCCAAGATGTCAAGATCCTAAACCTCAGAACCTAGAAGTATATTAAGTTAGATGGCAAAGTTACATGGCGATGAAGGTTGCTCACTAACTGACTTTAAGACAGGAAAATTATCCTGGATTATATGGGTGGGCCCAATAATTATATGTAAGGGTCCTTAGAGTGGAAGCAGGAAGCAGAAGACTCAGGGTCAGTGATAGGATGTGATTAAAAACTAAACCTGCTGATGTTGGCTATGAGCCAATAAATGTAGGAGTTCAAAAGGAGGAGTGGTTTCTCAAAGGAGAGAAATTTTTGGTATCAGAAATGGGGGTGAGGAGGATGTTGGGGAAGATAAACAAGAGCTGTCTTGTTTAATACTTATATAAATATATACATAGTTATAGCTAGATACAGCTATGGACTTAGATGTAGATGTGTATCCATATATACAGAGATAGGAAGAATAAACTGGTATACAGCTTTTTTTTTTTTTGGTTAAGGCAGGTAATTTTTTTTTTTTTTTGCTTACCTGGATTTTTTCTATAATGAATATCATTATTTATATAACAAAGAAATAAAAGATTTAAAAAGAACTGTGTGTACTTTTTCCAAGAGCCCTTTGTTACTTTCCTAATATGAATCTGCCCTTCCCAGTAAGACCATAGGCAAGTGCTCTTTGATTTGCATAGTTCAGAGCAGCCTCCTCTATCTGGACTCAGGCATCTTTCTGTGCAGCAGGTCATCCACGCATATCCATACCAAAATGCTTATCATGGTGCCAGACATAACAGCCTGTTCACTGAGATCTAGCTCATTGTCACTGTTCCAGAAAAAACACATCTGCACAATGTCCTAAAAAAGAGGACCTCATTCCCAGTTCAAGGGAGACCTGGAGAGGCCCCCTGCAGTCTCCATGGTCCTTTTCAGTCTTGGGAGAGACTGCCTTTCTCTCTAGAATTAAAAAAATAAGAATGTTTTTTCCAACAGAAGATATGCTATCTACACGGGCAGGGTCTATCCGACTTTCTCCCTGTAATCTGGTACAAAGCAGGCATTCTAGAGAAACAAATGGATGAATTGTCTCACCTATCACTCCTTTCTTCTTGGTGTCTCTGCTCTACCCCCTGTTCCCAGGGCATACATCCAGAGGGCAGCAAGGAATCCTCTCATTATCTGGGGTCTGCTGGTCAAATCCCCTATTCCATGATAAGCAGAAGTCCTTCTGAGGCCTGTGGACCAGCCTGACCAGCTGTAATAGCTCCTTTCTCATTTCATAGTCATTGTTCCTTCTCCTCCCTGCCCTCGCCCTCCACCCCAACCCTGTTGCCTCTCCCCAATTTTCTGTCCATTCTAATTTCTTAACAACTTGGTTCCATTCCCACTCCCATTGATTATGTCCATAGTCCACCTTTAAGCATAGGGTAGGTCCCAGCCAGAGAAGGAGAAAAAGTGGTCACATTGTTTTCTTCTTCTGCCTTTATCTAGAGAAGGTCTTAGAACATTTGTAGCATGGTGAGTGGGCAAACCGAAAAACGATCATGGACTTCTCTTTCTCTCATCAGTGATTTTTGGTCACTCCTGGTCTGGCCGGAAGTTCTTCATCCTCTGGAAGAACTGGCATCTTCTGAGCATCCAGGAGAATTGCTAATTTTCCTGGCTGGGAAGCTTGGCTAAGGAACTTGTCTCCTGCTTTGTCCGTTCTCCCAGGCTGCCAGGCCAGGGGGCACATGGAGCATCCAGAGGAATTGGTGCAGGATTGGTGCTCGTGCTCAGCAACACCTGCAAATGACCACGAAGAAGCCACATGTGACTCATTCCTTCCCTACAAGTGGGAAATGAAACTCTTCTAGCTGGGACTTTTACACTCCAAAACCCCACAAGGCCCACAGCCCAGGATTCTGGTTGCTTCATGTTTAACTTCCTCATACTGGATCAGCCTTTTGCCCAGCAATCAGCAGAATATCTATCTGAGGCCTCTACTTCTATCACTTAGATAAATGCTTCCCACCTTCAGCACTTTTTTCCCACAGTTGGCACCAGCATAGTAAGGCTTCTGAATCCTTTCCTGGGACCACTGAGAGGGCTTATGGGTGTTCCATCAATGGCTTATGCTACAACCAGCGAGTGCTGGGGAAAAGTCAACTTTTTGAGAGAGAGGGAAGGGGCCAGATGCTCTCGAGTCATATTGTGTGGCAGCTCTTCTCCCTTATATGCTGCAGGAGAAGACCCAGACCCCAAGGGCACCTTCTGCCAGGGTCTTGAGCAACTCTGATTCTTTTCTACCCCCAGGCCCTGGACTATGACAAGTTGTGAATGTAAAGCCAGGAGCCAAGAGCAGAAGGGCTGAGGAGACTCTGGGGTTAGATGGGGTACCAAGCATGAGAGTCCAGGAGCAGAACACTCTAACCGGGGGAACCAAGGCTCTGCAACTAGATGAGCAGCCTGAAGAAAATAGATATAGTCACAGAGACAGGCAGTGAGTTAGAGTGAGGCCTTCAGTTTGTGTGATTAGCTAATTTTAAAGGTTAGACCAGATAGCAGTCCTGGAAGCTATAGACAGATGTGGGTTAGGAGATGAGATAAGATGAATGGAACACCATCCTTATGACCCAGCTTCCTTCTCAGCACTTGGGAAGTGTGGTATGGTGCTCTCTCTGGGTTCTGTCACCCAGTCAGAAAAGCAGCTCCAGTCTGAGGTTTAATCAGCCAGAGAGAGAGAGAGAGAGAGCAGCAAGGGGCCTGTAAGAACAACAGGCTGGCCAGGCAGAGCTGGGCTATTCAGGGAAGTAGGATCCTCTCAAACATCCTCTGAAAGTGTAGGTAGCTGTTTCCTTGGCCCTGTTCATTAAGCCTCCAGCCCAGGTCCCTGACACCATTCTGTCATCCAGCCCACTGGTTCAGCCTCAGTGAGACTGGGCTAACTTTCTAGTTTTATGGCCAGAGTTTTCTGAATTTTGGGTAAGTTGTCAATCACACTTCCTTTATGCTGTTGTTATGCAAATGAATGAGCACTTCCAGAGGCAGTGGGAAGAAGCAGTAGCTTCTAGAAGACTGATCCCAGTCCATCGACTGTAGGTTTCAGAATTAATGATCAGTCATCAATTTTTCCAATCATTTATCTTTCATGTACCCATCCATCGATGGGTCAACCAATCAGTTAATTGATCCATTCATCTATCCACCCATCCATCCACCCATTGATCATCCATCCATCATCTATCCATTTATCAGTCTTCCATCCATCCATCCATCCATCCATCCATCCATCCATCCATCCATCCATCTATCTATCCATCCATCCACTCAGTTATCTGAACTGATTTCCTTTTCTTTTTCCTTCTCTCTCTCCCTTCTTCTCTTCCCTCTTTCTTTTCCTACTTTCCAAGAAATATTTGTTTAGAATCTTTTATATATGAGGTTTCTCAGATTTGGTAGACTTCTTCAAAGCATGGGAAGCTAGCCAGGAGAAAACTTAGTCCTTCACTGAGCCCCCAAATCTGCTCATTTCTGCACTGAGAAACTCCCACAAATGAAAGAACAGTTCTTGGTCTGATGTTGCTGAGCCTCCCCGCTTTGAGAGGCTCACAAGTGCAGGCAGCAAGGAGGAAAACCCAGGTTTTACATTTACATTTTGCATCTCCAAGCCCCATTTTATAAAGGGATACTGTATCATCTAAGATGTCTTAATAACAGAAAGTAGAATATTTCGTCACAGTGGTTTCCTTACTGGTCTCTCTGCTTCCAGGCTTTCCATGCCCTAATCTATGCTTCTCAACATGATTAGCGTGATCTTTCTATGATGTCCCTGTTCTTGTTTTTCTCCTGCCTGAAGTCTTTCATTGGTTCCATGTCACCCATAAGCCAGAGTTCAAGCTTCTTAACACTATCCAAAAGGATCGTCATGATCTGATCCCAGGTGCCTCTGTAGACCCATGCTCACCCCACTACTCTCATATGCTTTACACTCTAACGCTACCAAACTACTTACGGTTTGCCAAGCACACCATGCTGTCTTATGTTCCTATACTTTTAAATATGCTTATCCCTCTACATGGAACTTTTTACCATTATTCCATTCTCTGAACTTCCTTTGGACTGTACATACATATTCTTCTCTTGTATTATAATTTATTTCCTTGGGTCTGTCTTTCCTTCCAGACTGTGAGCTGCTTGAGTGCAAAGACTGAATTATTCATCTCTGTGGCCCAGTCATAGTACAGTGCCTGGTACTTAGAAGGCACTCAATATGTATTTGTGGGATGAATAGATGGGTGAATGGATGAAGGATGAGAGGATAAAAGAGGTAGGATAGTCTGGGGGCAAGATGGTTAAAAGGTCCCTGTAACAGATCCCCCAGAGAAGAAGACAAACGGCCTCTTCCTGAAAACTCAGACCTCTGAGGAGAGGACCGAGCTGTGGCATAAGCCAGGCAAGGTGCCTAGGTCAGGAATGGAGAACTTTGGGATGACATGATGACCTCTTGTGGGACTCACTTCCTTTTTCCTCTAGATAAAAGTTCCTTGGGGAGACAGCCAGCTAGAAACACCTGTGCTGCCAGCGCGAGCGTGCAAAATGAAGGCCGCAGAGAGCGAGGTCCCTGACGCGCACTTCACTGTAGATAAACAGAACATCTCCCTCTGGCCCCGAGGCAAGCACCAGTCGCTGCTCAGAACCTGCTCACTGCTCTGCTTCCAAAGCCATCATTTGCTGGCCTTCAACAAATGTTTTCTTCTTCTTCCAACAGAACCTCCTCCCAAGACGGGTTCGCCTGTGGTTCTGAGGAAACCTTGCACAGTTCGTGTTGTAGTTATCGTCCTGACGCTGGTTGTGCTCGCCTCCATCCTGATGCAGGCTATTCTCTGTAAGTCCTCTGGTTTAATCATCCAGGCTTGGTCCTTCTCCAGAGCCAGTTGGCTCCCTCAACATCCAGACCCTCTCTTTCCTGCTCTCCAGTGGTCTCTCCCACCTATGGCTTTTTCATTTGTCTTACTTCTTCTCTTTCCATGTGTAGCCACAGAGTCTTTGTCCTCAGTAAGATGAGCTGTTGCTCTTTTTTTCTCAAGTCTGGGGAAATTTTTCCTGAATAGGAAGGGAAGGGATAGGCTCAAGCTTCCCAAGGATCCAACCCAAGGAGCTGTGGCCTTCTCTCTGCTCATTTATAATCTATTCATTCAACAAACATGCATTGGCACCTACCACGTGTGAAGAACTCTGGTAGATGTGGGTAATGGTAAGATTGATAATCACAGGCTCACTCTTAGAAGACTTCACAGGCAAGCAGAAGCGGGGACTAGAACCCGGTCTTAAATTAGAGTAGAACCTACTTGCATGCTTGTGCTCAAAGACACACTCTTCTGTCCCCGGGAAATGTTCACCTATTTCCTCATCTTGTGTCATTTTCTCTTCCCTCTCTGAACAACGTGTCCCTTTGACCCAGAGCCTTGTGACAGCTCCTAACAGTGAGCGAAGTATTTCCTGACCTTACAGGATGGAGTCCCAACTGTATCCTCAGCCTCAACTGACTAGATAGAGAACCTGACCAACAAGCTAATAAATCCCCATGTCCCCTCCCCTCACCAGGACCCCTTCATACTCTCTTCATTCACATCGAGGGAAATTTCCTATTTCTTCATTGGATATGTGACTTTTTTTTCCCTTCCCTCCCCTCCCCTCCCCTTCCCTTCCCATACATAAATAAGGGTGCCCCAGCCCAGCTGGAGACACATGAGAACCAGATGGCCCATATATGCCTGCTGAGTGAATGAACCAATG